GGGACAGTTATGGTTTGTGTTTGCAGGGATGCAGCTAATACAACCAGGGACCCAGAGAGACCACCTAGGTACAGGGAAACCCCCCCCCCCCAGCAAAAAATTTGGAAACCAGGGAACACCTGTGGCACATCTGGGGAACTGGAACATACAACCAGGGAACGCACCTAAGGAGCTGGTGATAACACCTGGAGAAGTGAGGAATATTAAAAAAAAAAGTTGAATGTAATGCAATGTCTCTTTCTTGGATTAGGGGGCTTCAGTGGCTTCCTGTAGCTAGCCATGCTGAGATAGCTCCAATCGTGTAAGTCATGTGAGCCTGTGAATCATTAATAGCCTACCAGAGATCTGAGGCCAAAACCTGGCCCTTTCCCACCTTACAGGGAGGCACGGAGCATGGGATTCATGATCACATCACTTAGTGCTGGTGATCACGAATCGCCAGTAAACAAACCCTCAGAAAAGATGCTAAGCAAAATAGACCACTCCAAGGTTCACAGAAAGCAAACAAACAATGCAGCAAATGACTCGGTAAATGATCCACATGGTAGAAAATAAAAACAAAAGACTTGGTAGGATTCCTTAAAAGATAATGAGACCAACCAAGATATAAGTGATGATAAAAGGGCAGCCAACACTCCGAATTAGCACATCAGTGCAAATATTAGAGAGATCAGACAACATTCCAATACCCCCACATAAATGTTTGAAGCAAGGGAAGAGAATAAATTTAGGGATATTCCCATTGAGTGCGATATAATCATGAGGTGCATTGACAAACTGAAAGATTCAAAAGCCCCAGGCCAGGTGTGAACAGAATACAATCCAAAGTCTTTAAGGAACTAGCAGATGAATTATATCTCCCACTGAAACTCTTCAGAAAATCTCTGTACCACAGGATAGTTCTCTTAGATTATATACTCTTATCTCTCCCTTTGATACTGTTAATCACAACTACCTCTTACATTAATTCCATCATTATGTAATCTGAGGCCATGCCCTGAACTATATCCAATCCTATCTTAGTGATAGACACCAATGTGTAGCCATCAATGATATAACCTCTCCCACTCTACCAATAACCGTTGGAGTGCCATAGGGCAGCATCTTGGGATCTCTCCTATTTCTTATATACATCAATGATCTGCCTAATGTCTCTAACATTCTTAAACCTATATTGTTTGCTGATGATACTACCCTCATCTACTCAAACCCCAACCCACATACACTAAATAATGTTGTTAATAATGAACTAAAAAAAAGTCCACTTATGGATGTCAACCAACAAACTAACACTTAACATAGAAAAGACCTACTACATCTTATTTGGAAGCAAATCAACAAATGCAATTCAGTTACAGATAGACAACATTAACATGAGTAATAAAAATGATGGAAAGTTTCTTGGCCTATTCCTAGACAAGAGACTCAACTTCATAACTAAGAAAGTCTCTAAAACAGTTGGTATACTTTCCAAAATAAGATGTTATGTACCTAACTCTGCTCTCATCTCACTATATTATACACTAATCTATCCCTATCTTAATTATGGTATCTGTGCATGGGGTTCAACCACTGCAAACCACTTCAAGCCCATCATCACCCAGCAAAAATCTGCTATCAGAATAATAACAAATTCTGCTTTCAGACAACACTCAGCCCCTTGTTTAAGTTCCTAAACATGCTAAACATACACTCCCTTCACACAATCTCTTGTGTCAACTACATTTACAAAACCCTGTTCTTAAATGCAAACTCTGCTCTGAAACTCTCCCTGGACAGATGTAATAGGACCCATAATCTAGAAATAAATAAAAGAAATAACACTAGAAATAAATATATCTTTGATATCCCCAGAGTCAAACTTAATCTGTGTAAACACTCTATGCAAATAAAGGGACCTAGTCTATGGAACTCACTCCCTAATGAATTGAAAAGCTGTCCAACTTTTGTGTCATTCAAAAACAAAACTTAAAAAGTACCTAATTTCCTCTTCTTAGTTTCCTACTTTGTTGTTTTAAAATTTCACTGTATCTAGTGTTACCCAATCTCCCAATCTTTATGTACCTAATCCAAACAACTTTACCATTGTGATCATTGCTGTCTTCTTATATGTGCAATCAATTTGCTGTATGGTGCCTATTAATCTAGTCTAAATTACCAATCAAGCTGACAATGCAATCAATCAGAGCTACCAGTGTGCTTTAATATACCTACTAATCTCTCCCATCTCATTTTTCCTTTTTCTTGCAATGTATCCATTATCATTTTATTAATTCTGCTTGAATTTACCTACTTAAAATTATCTGTTAGATTAAGGACCTGCCCGAAACACTGTGCGTACTATTGGCTTTACAAGATTGTAAATACCATGCTATGTATACTCACAAACCCAATGTACCTTCTTGTATATAAATAAATAAATAAATAAATAAAAATAAATTATAAATATGTAAATGTCACCCCTATTTAAAAAAACAAAACAAAGTTGAATGTAATGAAATGCCAATTTCTGGGTGAGCCCCAGAGGCTCCCTTTAGCTACTATATCTGATATAGTGCCAGACTACAAGCTGTCATCAGTTGGGGGATTCTATTGGCACAAATGAAACTAAAAGCCTCCAAAAGGATCGAAGAATGGAAACAAGGACCACAAGCTTTCAAGTACCAGGCTGTGGAGAACGAGAAAACAAGGGAGAATCATACCCAACCAGGTATACGAAGCCGGAAGGACCACCTCAGTGTGCCAGCATGGTTGCGTGAACCACAGTGCGCCACACCAGCCACCCCTGCCGCCCCCGATTCAAGGAGAGGCAGACAGTCCAAGACAACTGGAACTGGCTTACATGAAGAGCGAAAAACCTGAAGAGGAAAATTACAATGCAGAATCCACCGAAAGTAAAACGACACTCACACCATTTGATCAGAGTTGAAGTAAGAGGGCAGCAATGGAAAAAGCAGTTGAGAGCCTTCAGCTAGACACAACCTAGCAAGAACACCATGCAGGTGAAATTCAAGCTTCCAAGCTGCCCAAATGGTGCCTGGGGCCCTGATGGGAAATGTTGAGACCTCCTATGTCCCAGACCACTCCCATCAAAGTCAGAACCTGAGAAAGCACTAACTGCAACTTCTGCCAGTTAAGCAGAAAGCCAAAGCCAGCCAACTTGGGAAAGAAGCAAAGCCATGGCCGGCAGACAATCCTGATGACTGTGGGTAAAAACCAATCAATCATCAGGGAAGGCTGGAACTCTTGATTCCAAAAGACGAAGATGACAGAAGCCCATAATGTGTTAGTTTGGTGAAAATTGTCAGAGCCAGGTTTAGACCAAGTGGTTCAAGCCCAAAAGTGGTACAATGTGCCCCTTTCTGAACTCCAGCTATTCCCTGAACTCAGGATGGATGGGACTTACCAACAAGAATCCTGGAGGATGCCTGTTGGTAAATCCCATCCAACAGTCCCAGCCTGTTGGTGATTTGAAACAAGAAAGAAGTGGGATACCCTCCACAAGAACCGGGTCACCACAAGAACACTCTTATCTAACAAGTCACGAATGACATCATGTAGAGGAGTAGACAGCTGAAGAGTTCTTGGGACACTGGAGGGAAGGAAAACAAAACCTAATGAAGACCCATAGACACCCTCCCACTACACTGTCACTAAGGTGTACCATGAGAAGACAGGTGGGAGTTGCAAAACTGCAAAGTATGTAAAGAGATAAGAAAGCTAGAACAATGCAATTGAGAATGCAAAATGAAAAAAGCCATGGACAATTATAACCAGCCACCAGTACCATCACATGGACTTAGTCATGCCAAGTGCAAAAGAAGGCTGAAAAAACCTTGAACCCTGACAGTAAACACCTGGCAGAGGAAAGTGTGAACAGCCATTGACAAGAACAATAACATCACCCAATTCCATCTTCAGTGAGGCAAAACCCTGACAAGCATAAGAAAGAGAGCCAGGTACAACTGCAATAGAAGCACAAAGCTGTCTGGTGAACAAGACCCATGTCCTACCCGGAAGTGAGATGACTGAAGATGGGTGAGCTCCTAGAGAAGGAACCCAAACCCCCAAGAAAAGGTATCACTGGTGGGGCAAGGAAAATGTGAGCTGACTACAAGGATGAAAACCCTGGTTCACAGCCTGAGTGAAATACATAGCATGAGCACAGGTAATGTGAGTGACATAAAACACAATTATGAAAGAAAAAGGAAACGATAACAAATGGCCCCGAGCAGAACTAATGTTCCAATGACAGCCCACATTACTTATCTTAAGCATGATGCACAGGATGGGCTCCACCAGAGGTGCTGTGCCACCTTTGTTGTGATCAGGCAAGTAAGGGGACAACGCAGGTGCATCATTGTTGAGGTGTTTACATAACAGCAATGATCGTTTGCCTTGTTCCCTCTAGGATGATGATAAAGATTAAGCCACTCCAGAGGTGACATGAGTAGCCTGTAAATCACTTTGGGTACCTAATTTTCTTAATGTAGAGGGCAAGGGATGGTTTCAGAGGCTTGGTTCATCTCCCTAGGGCATAGCTAAACCAGTACTTAGACTGTGGAGCTACTGAAGAAACCCTCCCAGAATGTAGCACAAATATAGCAAAAATATATAATTTGCTTCAATGAAACCCCAGAACCAATTGATCTATTTGAGCAAGTCTTAACTTGAGCAAAATACATTCTATGCACTAATTTTTTTATTTTTTCATTATAATGAATGATTGTTTTTTTTACTAAGTAAGGTAAGATCATATTTTCACCAGTACAGTATATTAACAATTATTTTAAAATATCAGATTTGCATTGTTTTAATATTTAGAACTATACAAAATACCATTTACAATAGAGAAGAGAATCTATTTAATAAGTCATTTTGCTAATGAAACCTTTTCAGGTCAAGAGACACAACACAATATCAGTGTACATATATACATCTGAGAGATGGAAGAAAGTGAGAGGGAACAGTGGGTGAGGGGTAACAAGGCAATGTATCACCTGTTAAGGTGAGGTCTGGAAGTCCATAATCGTGCCCACCACATGTGAGGTCTGAGGTGGTGCGATCTGCAAGAAAACCCAAGTTCTATTCAATGATTTTCACATCTTTGAATAGCAGCTGCTTTACCCAGTTCCTTGACAATCATTTGTGCTTTTATTCAACTCCATGGTGTGAGAGTGTAAGTTAATGTGGGTTCACAAAGCAAATCTGTGAGCTCCTTTATTCTGATATCTATGTTTCTGTGTCAGAAATAATAACTGTTTCTGTTTCTTCGCTGATGATACTTTCATTAACCTTTCACAAGAAATACCATCACCCCGAGCCAGGTCACCTGGACATGACAAGGTTGCATATAACTCAACCCCTATAATAGTGAGGAATTGCACCTACTTAAGCATGTTACTGGTGTTGTATATGCCATATCAAATACACGTTCAAGCAATTAAGAGATCATGCTGGATTTGACACAGTACTTATAGGTTTTGTGTATTTGTGGTTCTTTGACCCCACAGAACCTTACTGCAACTTTACTATTATGAATGAATAATGCAATGCCTTTTGTATGTTTATTCCAAATTTAATTGTACTGTATTGTACAGTACAGTACATCAAAAGAAAGTGGATCAATATTTGCATTCAATGGATGGCTGAGATAAGGAAAGATGCACAAAAGGGACATCAAAAGTAGGTAGTCAATGGGACTGTGGATCAATACATTACAATTCGTTGGTCAATAGGATGACAAATAGCAATACACCAGTGACACTTTGTGATATATGTGGAAACATCACATACCTATCATTTCACTTTATAAAAATATGTATCACATGAGATATCCACAAAAATGCAGATCACACAAAGCAGGACTAGAAGTGGTGTCAAATTAAACCAAACAAGAGTTATATATACACTGTATCTACTTGCTGGTCTTACATTAGTGCACAGGTTAATGACACTGAGTCTATTATGGCCAGCATTGAAGATGCTACCACTAATCACAGTACATAGCGTGTGTAAAGTCCCACACACAAGTTGTTCAAGCTGTGAGATAGTTTCATCCCACTAACAATGCCACACACTCAAAGTGTCTTTACAAGCATGAACTCAAACTTTAGGCGAGTCTCCAGAACATCCCACAGCACAACACACACACACTAAACCATACCAGAGGAGATGGAGTGCGGTGTGTAGCTCATACCACAAACACTGGTGTTGGACAAGTAAGGCAGATGTTGTAACAAGTCACTGCCCTTGCCAACACACACACACAAAGGGTGATGAGGCACGTTCTCTTGCCTTCAAACACACACAATTCACAGTACTGTACACTGTTCACAAAACTCAAAGTGACAAGAGATTTTCACTGCAGCCCCCAGCAGCGACAGATCAATAAAAATTGAGGAACAAAGTTTGAAAAACCAAGAGGTGCATTCCATTCACTTAACCAAGAGGTGCAGTTATAGTGGGTTACTGGCTGACATCATAGTTGCCACTAACGACTAATAATAAAAACAGAAGACAGAAACTGATGAAGTGGGCTGCGGAGTGCATTTTTGGAGAGACTGAATACAGGAAGAGACACTCCCTCTAGCTATCTGCACTGAGATAGCTCCACACCTATATCACATCAGCCCTTGTGAGTCCTCAATAGCTTACCAGAGACTACAACCTGGCCCCCCTCACAGAGGCACAGGGAAGTCACGATCAACCTCACTGAAGAAACAAATCCCCAGAATGGAAGCAAAGCAAAATAGAGAACTGCAAGGTTCACAGAAAGCAGACAAGTAATACAGTTAAAGTACCTATTTTACCTATATAATGTACAATGTACCTATTAATCTTTTTACGTTTATCACTTACCCGGTAGATTAAGGATCTGCACGAAATGCTATGTATGTTAGTGGCTTTGCTAGAATGTGATAGTCAAACACTAATGTAATGTACCCTCACAACCCAATGTACCTTCTTTTGTGTGTGTGTGTGTGCGTGTTTATTTATATATATATATATATATATATATATATATATATATATATATATATATATATGTCGTACCTAGTAGCCAGAACGCACTTCTCGGCCTACTATGCAAGGCCCGATATGCCTAATAAGCCAAGTTTTCCTGAATTATTATATTTTCTCAATTTTTTTTCTTATGAGATGATAAAGCTACCCATTTCATTATGTATGAGGTCAATATTTTTTTATTGGAGTTAAAATTAACGTAGATATATGACCAAACCTAACCAACCCTACCTAACCTAACCTAACCTATCTTTTTAGGTTTGGTTAGGTTAGGTAGCCGAAAAAGTTAGGTTAGGTTTGGTTAGGTAGGTTAGGTAGTCGAAAAACAATTAATTCATGAAAACTTGGCTTATTAGGCAAATCAAGCCTTGCATAGTAGGCAGAGAAGTGCGTTCTGGCTATTAGGTACGACATATATATATATATATATATATATATATATATATATATATATATATATATATATATATATATATAATGTTGTACCTAGTAGCGAGAACGCACTTCTCGGCCTACTATGCAAGGCTCAATTTGCCTAGTAAGCCAAGTTTTCCTGAATTTATATATTTTTCTACTTTTTTTCTTATGATATGGTAAAGCAATCTATTTCAATATGTATGAGTTAAGTTTTTTAATTTGAGTTTAAAACTAACTTAGATATATGATCGAACCTAACCAACCCTACCTAACCTAACCTATTTTAACCTAACCTAACCTAAACTAAGATAACTAAGTCAATAATTTATGTTTTTAAATATAATAATAATAATATTTCAAATAAATATATGTATATATATGTATATAATTATATATGTATATAAATAATATATATATATATATATATGTCGTACCTAGTAGCCAGAACGCACTTCTAAGCCTACTATGCAAGGCCCGATTTGCCTAATAAGCCAAGTTTTCTTGAATTATTATATTTTCTCTAACTTTTTTCTTATGAAATGATAAAGCTACCCAATTCATTATCTATGAGGTCAATTTTTTTTTATTGGAGTTAAAAGTAATGTAGATATATGACCGAACCTAACCAACCCTACCTAACCTAACCTAACCTATCTTTATAGGTTAGGTTAGGTAAGGTAGCCGAAGAAGTTAGGTTAGGTAGGTTGGGTAGTCGAAAAACAATTCATGAAAATTTGGCTTATTAGGCAAATCAGGCCTAAATCATATATATATATATATATATATATATATATATATATATATATATATATATATATATATATATATATATATATATATATATATATATATATTATATATATATATATATATATATATATATATATATATATATGTCGTACCTAGTAGCCAGAACTCACTTCTCAGCCTACTATTCAAGGCCCGATTTGCCTAATAAGCCAAGTTTTCCTGAATTAATATATTTACAATAATTTTTTTCCTATGAAATGATAAAGCAACCCTTTTCTCTATGTATGAGGTCAATTTTTTTTTATTGGAGTTAAAATTAATGTAGATATATGACCGAACCTAACCAACCCTACCTAACCTAACCTAACCTATATTTATAGGTAAGGTTAGGTTAGGTAGCCAAAAAAAGCTAGGTTAGGTTAGGTTAGGTAGGTTAGGTAGACGAAAAAACATTAATTCATGAAAACTTGGCTTATTAGGCAAATCGGGCCTTGAATAGTAGGCTGAGAAGTGCGTTCTGGCTATTAGGTACGACATATATATATATATATATATATATATATATATATATATATATATATATATATATATATATATATATATATATATATATATATATATATATATATATATATATATATATATATATATATATATATATGTCGTACCTTGTAGCCAGAACGCACTTCTCAGCCTACTATGCAAGGCCTGATATATATATATATATATATATATATATATATATATATATATATATATATATATATATATATATATATATATATATATATAAATATAAAATAATAATAATAATAATAAAATAACAGCAAGTGTTATTTTATTATTTTTATTATTCCACCCAGTAGTTTGGCGTACACCTTTTAGTAGCAGCTGACCACCAGGCATGAGAGGTATGAAAGCTTCTGGCACTCTCCATGTCAACACTTGTCAATTTTTAATCTGATATCACACGTCTGACCACGTCACACGTCTATGAGTCACCAGCTTTTTAGGTCCCAGATATTCTAGATAAGTAATGGCCATTGTTTGGACTCTGTCCTGTGAGGGCTCATTTGCTTGTGTATTATTTGATTTTTTAGTATTTGCTTCATGTGCATGTGTTTACAAGCCTTCTTAGTTGTATGAACTTTGGAAACTGTTCATCTTCAGCTGCATATGCATTGGGAAGACCTTTCTTAGATACTCATTTTGTGTTTCCTTGTTCTGATAGGGTTGCTTCATTGGTGGGTTCAGGTGTGTCTCACAGAGGCTGGCCTCTTGTGAAGGTCTCTCAGTGGCTGGCCTCCTCTTCAGCTAACTGTCTCAGGATTGGTCCTTTTCTTTCTGGTCTGGCCTTTTGCATGACTTCTCCAGTTCAGGTATGCCTGGTTTAGCAAGCAGTTTTTCCTGGTTGATGCCCCTGGATTTGTGTGACGTGTTATGGCCTGACTTGTTTCTTCTGAAGTTTAAAGACTGGTTCGGGATTATTGTGGTACTTCTGGTTTTCTACTTTTAGGTTCTTCATTTTTGGCTTGACTCTGGCTCCTCAGTTCTTCCCAAGCTACCCTGGGTGGCTTTTTACCTGGCAACTTCTTTTGAATGTCCATGTTTTGGCCTAGCTCAATGATTGTCTGGTTTGGGCTTTCATCCAATCCACATGTCTGAAGGCCAGGGTTTGTTCTTCTTCCAGGTCACCAGTTTTGGGTTTCTAGTGTATTGGAGGTGGTCCCAGTTGGTTCCATTTCAGGTTCCAGCATGGTTGGGTCTGGTCTTGGATTTTTGTTTTGGCATTCCTTTCCTAGCTGGCATTGGCTCTGCTCCACATGCAGGCTTGTCTGTGTCTGGTGATGGAGAGACATAGGAATACTCAATG